CCCAAAATCCATCCCAAGAAGTATTTTGAGATCAGGAGGATGTGTTTGTATACAGGGAAAGCAGGGGAGGGATTCAAACCCAAGCAGGTTTAATCTGTCTGGTCTCACACTCTTCCCCAGCTTTCATTTCCCCAGCACCTGGATACAGTCAAGCACCTGGCTGATCCAGGCAAAATCCAACAAGCTTTTGCAGCAGGCTTTGGAAGGAATCCCCCGTGGATCCTGGCATGTTTTAAAGCTGTCCGCTCTGAGTTAGGACTTGTTAAGAAGGGCAGTGCAAGCTGTAACCCGAGACTGCCGCTCACCTCTATCTAGGGCTTGCATCTTGCCTGGAAATGGGGCATCCCCAAAGTCAAAGGGGTCAGTTGCTGCTCAGTTATAGAGATGGTCTGCACAGCCCCACATCACTCCCCCAGACACATGTTTTCCATATAACAGCAGAGGAAATGCCCAACTCTATCAAAAACACATGCAGATCATCAATCATCAGGCAGAGCCTGGCTGGTGCTCAGGGCTGGGAACAGCTCTGTGCTTTTAAGTCCAGGTGGAGGTGGTGCCCAGCGCCTGCTGCAGCCTGTCAGCCAGGAGCACTCCTGTCAGGCTTGTCCTGCGGAGAGCCGCTGGTTTTGTAACACGAGAAGCTGGTAGGCACTGCTCTCTAAATCAACTGACTGAAGTCACTCACGATTTACACCATGGCCCAGGAGCAGGCCCCTCCAGGTCCAGGGCAGGAAGCTCACCCAGGCAGCCCAGACCAGGAGCCAGGCTGTCAGGGTCTGTGCTGAATCCATCTTGCTTTACCTGGGCTAGTCCACTCTGTCAGCCTGAGGAGCCTGGAACACAGCAGAGATGCCTTCACCAGCTCTGCAAGCATATGTTCTTTTTAACAAGTCTGATCAGTTGAGCTGCTCCCAAGGAAGCAGTAATTACATCTGCCCAGGGGCAGGGAGATTGGACAGAGGGTCTGAGTGACAGCTCCAGCCTGGAGAGCAGGACAAGGCAGCCCTGGAGCAGCACAATCCACAGGGAGCCAAGAGCAAGTCAGGAGCTGGGCTCCTTCCTATGCACACAGACCAGCACTCCAACTTATCTCCAAAGGCCTTCCAAAATGGAAGAGACTTTTATTTTAAGAGCATTCAAAAAAAAAAAAAAAAAACCCGATTTTTGGTGTCACAAAAGGGAGGGGGAAAAAAGATCTCGTGTAAAACACGAAACACTGTCAAGGGAGTGCTATGGTACAAAGGCACAATCCAATATGAACATATAACCTATGTACAGCCGTGCCAGCAGCACGGGGTGTGGTGCTCAGTCCAGTCCGGTGCCTGTCACCCTCACCAGGGTCTCCAGACAGAATCGGCTGTGCCAGGTGGCGGGCCAGGCGGTGAGGCGGCAGTGGCAGCTGTGGGTGGGCCACCGTACAGGGGCAGCACAGCACCGCTGGGAGCGAAGGCGGTGCTGGGGATGAGGAAGGCGAATTGCCCATCGGAGGCTGGCAGCAGCTGGAAGCCACCGTACACCTTGGCTGCATCGGCGCCCGGCTTGCAGGGCATGCCTGGGAGCGGCCCCGCACCACTGCCCGGTGGAACCAGGGGTGGCCCAAAGGCAGCGGCTGGTGGCAGCGGGGGTGGTGGAGGGGGTGCAGGGTAGTTCATGGCGTTGATCTGGGTCATGCAGCTTGCCAGGTGGCCCAGGAGCCGGGTGCGCACCTCGGTGTTGACGCCCTCGCAGGTAGAAAGGAACCGCGTCACCTCGTTCATGCACTCACTGAAGCCGGCGCGGTACTTGCCCAGCACTGTGGGGTCTGTGCTCAGCGCGGCTGTGGGGGGAGAGAGGCGCACAGCAGTCAGCAGGCTCTGCAGGGAATGGGGATGTGGAGCCCACCAGCGTTGCATCCTGCAGCCCCTCTGAGCCAGGAATCCAGGCAGAGAGTGCAGCCCCTCCGGCAGCGCATCTTTGTGCTCCTGGGTGCCGAGGATCCAGAGAGCATGGCCCCTCCACCACCAATTCCACCAGCACCAAGGACCCAGGGGGGGAACAGACAACCCGCAAGAGTCCTCCTATGCCCTTAAGCACTGGGGATCCAGGTTGGGAGCACAGCCCCCCCGGTGGCTCCTATGTCTCCCATCCCCCCAAAACAGATCCAGGTAGGGAGCACAGCTCTCTGCTGGTAGAAGGGACCCAAGCCGGGATTGTAGCCCTTTCAGTGCCCTCCCGCACCAGGGATACAGAGAGCACGGTGGGCCCCCCCCACCTCCTCACACTGGGGATACAGGTACAGAGCACGGTGCCCCTCACCACCCTCAGTACCCGGGATGCAAGTGGGGAGCCCACCCGCCCCCTGTACCAGCAATACAGGTACAGAGCACAGTGTCCCCCATCGCCCCCCAGTACCGGGGATGCAGGTGCGGAGCTGGGTGCCCCTGTTTCCCCACCGCCGTGGATGCAGGCAGGGAGCACGCTGACCCCAGCCCCCGGGATGCAGCCAGACCACCCCCCCCCCCCGGGCCCCCCCGCGCGCCCCGGCCCGCGGGGGGC